AATGAGCCAGAACAAGGCTCGTCAGGGAAGCACAAATAAAGCCTGTGGTGGCACGGAGCATCCACAGGTGCTCAGCCAGTGCCAGGCACGAGGGAGTGCTTTAAGGGCTCCCCCACCTCAGACGTGCAGAGCAGCCCAGCATGACAGAGCTGAGGCAAAGCCTCGGCGCTCTGGGATCCCTCTCCTTCCCTGCAGAGTGGAGCCAGCGGTCCCTCCTCGCAGGGGTGCAGGGCACAGATCAGCCCTCCTCTGTGATGGGCCTTGCACACCTGAGGCAGGTGGCCCCTTTCCTCCCCAAATCCACCTACAGATCTCAGAGCGAACGCCTCTTCTGCACACTGGACAACAGGCCACATGGGCTGCACCCTGCACCCTCCCTCCACCCTCCCTCCATCTGGCTCAGATGCTGCCAGCTCTTCAGGCCCAGAGTGGGCGGCTCCCCCAGGCTGCTCCTCCTGCACTCACCTGCTCAACTCAGAGCTTTAGTTTCCTTTTTGAATTTCCAGAACTGAGTCCAGATCTTAAAAGACGTAATCACCATGGTGTGCAGAGAAAATGAAATTTGTGGAGAAGCAAATGAAAACTTTGAGCACGGGCCAGGCAACCAGGGAGTGCTCAGTGGCCAGCACAGTATGTCCAGGGCTCTTTGCCCTGGGAAGAAGGGCTCAGCATCCCGCCTGGCACCCCATCCCTGCCCTCCCCACGCAGACTCTGCCCTGCACCCATCTCCTCGCAGGCCTCAGAGATGGTTCCTCCTGGCACGTGGCCACCCCAGCCCACTCCCTTCTCCCTCTTCCTCGTTTCCTGGCTCCATCTAGGGCGTGAGCTTCAGGGCAGCCAGGCAGTGTGGCCACGTTCTCCACTGTACCCAGCCACAGAACAGTGCTGCCTAAAGAGGAGCTGTCCAGGAATGCCCTGAATGAGGAAGCAGGGAGCCCACAAGGCCTCCCAGAAGACCAAAGGGGTTCCACCAGAACCAGTCTGGGAATAGCTGCCAGGATCCCACCTGTGGATATTCACATGCACATCTGCACATCAAGGCTCTAAGGTCCTGCCTTTAAGAGGCTTAGCACCGCTGCCTCAGCATCCGCAGACTCGGGGACGGGGAACGTGGTGGAGGACACCATGGACCCACACTTGTAGGTAAGGACTAGGGGCTCTGCTGCGTGGCTGGTCGGATGTGATGCAGGAACATGATGGCCGGGCCAATGTGTAAGCATGTGTGTCGGGGTGTGTCTGCACGTCCATGTCTGTGTCTCTGTGTGTCACCTGTGTGTCAGTATGTGTTATATGTGTGTGTTTATATGCCCGTGTGTGTGTCAGCATGTGTTTTGTGTGCGTGCATGTCTCCCTATGTGCTGTCTGTGTTGTTTCTGTGTGTCTCTGTGGGGGGTATGTGCTATGTGTCTGTGTGTTGTCTATGTGTTGTGTGTGTCTGTATACCTCTGTGTGTCCATGTGTGTGCAAATCTAAAAGTATGACTTCTAAATGTTGGTCTGGGTGGTGGCATTCATTAGGATTGATTTTCTTTGTTTATTTTATGACAAACGGGTATTGCTTCTGAGTGTGTTCTTAAAATTAACACACTTTTTTTTTTTTTTGAGACAGAGTCTCACTCTGTTGCCCAGGCCAGAGTGCCATAGCGTCAGCCTAGCTCACAGCAACCTCAAACTCCTAGGCTCAACAATCCTCCTGCCTCAGCCTCCCGAGTAGCTTGGACTACAGGCATGTGCCACCATGCCCAGCTAATTTTTTCTATATATATTTAGTTGGCCAATTAATTTCATTCTATTTTTAGTAGAGATGGGGTCTCGCTCTTGCTCAGGCTGGTTTCAAATTCCTGACCTTAAGGGATCCTCTCGCCTAGGCCTCCCACAGTGCTAGGATTACAGGCGTGAGCCACTGCACCCAGCCAACACACTTACTTTTAAAAGAGAGAGAGAGTGCAGTTGGGGGCTTGAGAAGCTGACTTTACCTCTATCCTTCGGAGATGCTGCATTTGTTAGGAAACATGTTTGTTTTCTCTCGGTGCTGAGAGTCATCCACGTTTAGTCATCCAGTGCAAAGCAGCCAAAAGCAGGCAGGAGGAAGCAAGTGAACAAATCTCCCACAGTTGCAAGAGATGGTTTGGCTTTAAATGGAGCAATGTCTAGTGACCTCTGACTCAGGGTGGAGTGAGACCCTCTCCTGCAGGCTCCCCCCAAGACCACGCTCCTCAGGGCAGAGGCCCTGTCCCCTTCTTTCTGTGAACCCAGCACCCAGCCCCGGGTAAGACACACAGAGTCCAAGAAGGGTCTATGCAGTGAGTGGCTGACTGGGGAATGAAAGAAGAGAGAAAGGAGGGATGGAGGGAGAGAAGAGGGGAGGGAGGAATTAATTAGTGGGCCCAAGGGGATGTTGGGCTCCTTGTTACCATGGAGACAGCCACTGGTGCACAGGCTGCACCAGGCACTGCAGGGTTAACAGAGGGCGGGGCTGAGCAAGAAGCCCCCACCCCACCACACAGGCCCACCTCTGCATGGAGGCATCACCTGACCTGGAGGGAAGGTGGCCCCAGACCTGGAAGGACCTGAAAGTCTGTAGGCAACACCTCCTCCCTCTTGTCCAGCTGTGGTCAGGTTTGGTCACACCCTGATCCCTCTGAATTCACCAGCCACGTCCCGGCCCCTCTGTGGGGGGACCCCTCCCTCTCCAGGAGTGGGCACTGCAGCACACTGCGGCCAGGTGCCAGGGAAGCCTCGTCACCCACCTCTGCTCCCACGGCAGCCTCCCACCCCAGCATCGTATCTTGGCCACAGGGTGGGGGCACAGTTGTCAGCCCCTTTCACACCCCAGGGGACCCCAGCAAGGAGCAGGCTCACGGAGACAGACACCCAGAGACAGGCAACTGCAGGAAAACACGCATCAGTGGATGCTATGTGTTTACAAGTGAGCAAAGGAGGGGGGAAGGAGAAACCCCACTTCACCACCAAATGCACATTTCACAGCGGGCTGGGCTGCTGGCGCCCAGTGTTTAAGATGGCACCATGCCTGCCCTGCGCAGGTGATGGCCCCTGCTGGCAGGGGAGCCTGGGATGCCAGGGCTCTGCAGAGAGGAAAGTCGGGATGCTGACAAGCACCTTTGGAGCAAAATGGTGCGGGGACAAGTGCCTCCCAGGGGCCTCACACCTGACTGATCTGCCCCTGAAAACCCACCCACTGCGTGCAGCATGGGTCCTGCGAGCCCCATCAGCCTCTGGGAGGTGCGGGCCAGGCTTCCTACCTGCACAGTGACCCGAGTCCACCCACTCCCTGCAGCGTGTCCCCGTGAGGGTGGATGTGCTCACCCTCAGCCAGTGGTCTGTCACCTGTTCCGGCAGCTCCCAAGAGCCCACTGTTGCCTGGCCGGGCGCCTGCACGCTGGGCCGAGCTTCAGGCAGTGCCACCTCAGCAGCGGCAGCTCCCCTTCTGCGGAGCCAGGCTCGTCTCCGCCCTCGGCTCCCGCCTTGCAACACGGCAGGCAGCGGAGGCTGCTCAGAGCTTTGCAGAGCCCGCCGCCGACTCAGCCACGCAGACTTGCCTCCCCGGCAGAGGCGAAAACAAAAGCATTAATCTTCCCAGCAAGGCCCTTTCTCCTGCACAACAGGCGAGGAGGAAAACCCAGACCTGTTCTGCCCCTGCTCCTGGCAGCTCCTGCTCCTGGCAGCTGGGCCAGTCCCCTCCCGATGAATCAAGGGGCCCACTCCCAGGCACCAAGCCCCCCATTCTGACTTGTCATTACATAGACGTGAGGTGAACCCCACCCTCCCAATCCGTCAAGGGGGCCACTGAGCGCCCCATCAATTATTAGCAGGCCAGCACTGAGCTGGGGCCCCTCCGAGATGGGGTCTTCCTGATGCCCTGACCACGCGGGCTCACCAGGCACAGCACGTGCCCAGGGCCCAGAGGGAGTCTCCACCTGAGGAAGGGAGGGCAGTGCGAGAGACCGGAACGGGTGTGGCCAAGAGAGGCATTTGAAAGAAGGCGGTCTGAGGTCCAGGTGCACCTCTGCACCAGGTGCCTCAGAAGTGAAGTGTCATCAGAAAAAAAGCAACTCAGTGCCTTCTGTTCAATTCCACCCAAGCATCCTGAAGCCCTCTCAGGTGCTGGGCACCTGCTGTGGGAGCTGGAGAGGAGATCCAGGGAGCGCCCGGCCATCCTGTGCAGCCCGGCCTCTGCAGCAGCCAGACACGGCGCTCTAGATGCAGGTCCAGCCCAGGGGCCCCAGCCCCCCACCTGCCCACTTCCTGCAGCCTCCTCCCCACTCGGCCTCCTGCGGCTCTCACAGGTCAGTGCACAGCCCCTCCCCATTCTGAGCCCTCTGGTTATCTGTCCCCTCCCCGTGGACCATGGGACAACCCAGGGATTGGGGCAGTCGATCTGCCGGTCCCAGCCCCAGCCCTGAGCCAAGGCAGCCTGCAGAACAGGGCAGGCCTGCGCACCGGGTGGGCGGGGCCTGGTCCTGGGGCCATGCGATTTATTTCATTGAAGGAAACGTAGAAAAGTGCACAGCACGTGTGATGTCCACACAGGGAACACGCCCACATACCTACCACCCAGGCCAAGAAACAGCACTGTCGGTACCTGGAGTGCCTCCATAATTGCCAGTTACCCTGCCTGCCAGATGACCACCCTGGGGACACAGTCCTGCCGTGGGGCCGTGGGCATTACCCCCCCAACCCCAGGTTCACTTCCCATCCCCCACACCTGAGTCCCAACCTGTACAGCAAAAGGCTGGGCCAAAAGGTCTCAAGGTCCTTCCCCCCTCTGACTCTCTGAGTTTGAAAAGTGGCACAGGGGTGAGGCAGGCTTCCTGGAGGAGGTGGCACCCAGCAGGCCCCAGAAGGTGTCCTGAGGTGGTGCTGGGAGGAGGGTGAGGCAAAGACTGGGTGGGACAGGTTGTTGCACAAAGACACACAAACCTCAAGTAACTCCCAGGGGGCAGTACAGCCTCAGCTCCGAGGCCGCGGGGCCCGACCTACCTCCAGCACGCGCCCCGTGATGTACTTCTCACAGCCGTCGCAGCGGATGCCGAACTTGGCGTGGTAGTCGGCCTCACAGTAGGGCAGCCCGTCCCTGCAGCGAGACAGGTGGTCAGGATGCGGCAGGGTCACCCGAGGATCTGACAACTCTTCCCAGCCAGAGGGTCTGCATCGAAGTGGGGACATGCCCACCTCCTCCTGCTCCAAATAACAAATCTCTCTAACAGGGAGTGTCCACCGGGTGCATGCAGGCACCTGCCCCCATGAGAAAAGCCCTGAAGACCATCCCATTTCACAGATGGAGGGACTGAGGCATGCAGAGGCAAAGCTGCTTGCACAGCGGGGGCTGAGGGGCTGGCGGCTGCCTGCAGAGGCTGGGCTGAGGGAGCAACAGCCGCATCTGGGAAATGAGAGATGCTTCCACAGACCCGGCTCTTGCCAGTTCCTTCCATCCAAAGATCAGCATCTGGGGTGCCTTAGAAAAACATGAGCCAGAAAGGGGATATGGCAGGGCAGCCACTCTGGGGACTAGGCTCCAGGACAACAAGAAGGCCAGGTGCAAGCAGGTGGGTTAGGCAGGTGCTTCCTGCTCCCAGGAACTCCAGGTGCCAGGCTGGCTTTGGCCACACGGCTGCGTCTGCTCTGCGCACGTTCACGGTGCGCCTCCTGCTCTCCAGGCGCCGCCACGGTGTGAGGGAATCAGATGGACAAGCCACTCCGGCCCCGCCCCTGAGCCAGCTGCCTACACCCTGAGACTCCCATAGGAGCTGCCGGGAAAACAGCTCTCTGCTGCGTCACGGACAGGAGGGTGGCGTGGCCGCGGCTCCCGCAGCGAATTCAGAGCCTTCCATGCTCGCTACTAAGGGATCGATGGAACAGGACAGTGCTGTGCAGAGCGGGCAGCTGCTGGGCAGTAGTTAAGTGACTAGGCTCAGACTCAAACGCCACATAACAGCTGTGTGACCCTGGGCAAGTCACTTAACCTTTCTGAGCCTCAGCTTCCCTACCTACAAAGTGGGGAAAATCATAGTAAGCACTAAACAAGAGAAGGTGGGACCAGAGCCTCACACCTGGTGGGCCCCTGCCCACAACAGTAAGGCCACTGTCATTACCCACCGGGCCCAGCAGGGGCTGGGTGTGGGGTGGCCTGCACAGAGCGGCCCCTGTTACTCCGGCACAGCCCGCTTTACACTGCTGAAGTGGCGTGTTCTTCCAATTCGGATTGATCTTCCCACGGCTGCGACAGAAGGTCGATCCCCTGAGCTGCCAGGGGTAGAGCTGAGCTAGCGCCGCCCTCTCCTCCTCACAGCTCTGGCAGCACCAGGCCCGCAGACGCCTCGGCAGGGCAGGGCGCAGCATGGGGCCATGAACCTGGGGCGGGGGCCCCTCTCTGAGTGTGGCCTCCAGCTGGCCCACGGCTCTCCGAGAAGCCAGCTCAGGAGGTGACAGCCCTTCCTTCCACGCGAGGGAGAAGGTACAAGACAGGTCCTTAGGACCTACTTCCAGATGCCGCTGATTTGGGGCCTCGTGATCCACAAATGGGTGCATGTGCACCAAACCCAGGAGGTTAAGGAAAACATCTCCATGGCAACCCCAGCGCCCTCCTTGTCAGTTCTGGAACAGCTCCGGAGGCTGCTAAGTAACACGCGTGGTGCGTGCGCTGCCAGCGCCGCGTGAGGACCTGCAGCCTGGGGGGGCTGGGTGCCCTCATTCCACATCCCAGCCTCTCCTGTGTCTCGCACCCACTCGTGTGCTGTGACAGCGGCCGGAGCTCACGCCCTCGAAGGCCCTGCACCTGGTGCAAGCTCACCTCGGTGTGGGGATTTTACTTAAAATGAGCCATTTGAGATCATTGTAGATTCTGTGCAGTTGTAAGAAACGGCACAGAGAGGTCTACTCCCGCAGTGCCCCCATGGTGATGCCCCGTAGGGTTAGAGAGCAGTCGGCCACAGGTTAACACGGGACATCAGGGACATTGTTCAGACTCCGCGTCACACATACTCACGCATGTGTGTGCATGTGCGTGTGTGTGCTCGTGCTCTTCGTTCTTTGCATTTTATCGCAGGACTTTTTCAATTCGGTCAATTCTTGTGACGGTCCTGTCCCCTTTGGAGCATCAGAACAAGCACAGCCTTTCCCAAAACTTGCTGGAAGAGCCTCTCCGTCCCAGGAGGGAGCCCGGCTGCTCTCTAGCCCATGCGCTACGTCGCCCGCACAGGTGCTGTCTGGCCGCAGCCGGCCCAGCTCCTGACCTCCTGGGTGGAGACACGCCAGCTCCTGGCCTCGCGCCGCCTCTGCTCACGGCCATGACCTTCCCAGAAGGCTCCCCACTTCCCCTGATAAAACCTTTCTCCTCTGCCCCCAAACCAGCCACCACCCAGCTGGACTGCACATCTGGGGGACATAGTGCTTGCAGGAGCTGCCCCGCGGCCCCTGCCCTGCAGGAGACAGCACAGTCCTGGGTCCGTCCCTGACAACAGAGACGGGTTGGCCTCGTCTTCCTCGCTCCTGTTGCTGACACTGCTTTGCCCCCTGCAGGACAACTGCAGGGCAAGAGCACCCTTGTGAGGGACAGGAGACATGGCAGAAGAGCTGGACCCAGCTCGCCCCCACCCCCAACAAGGAAGCCCGAGCTGATGACCTCCTTGGAGCCCTCGCCCCCACGTACTTGCTGATGTACTCGGCGTTCAGGAGCTTCCCGCAGCTCTTGCACTTAAAACAGCCCAGATGCCAGTGCTTGTCCAAAGCCACCAGGGCCTGGCCATTTTTGATCTCTGTGCCACAGCCCCCGCAGCCTGGAAGAAAGACAACAGAACACAGACATCCTCACCACGGCGGAGAGGCACCTTTGGGGCCTCACAGAGGCATGCAAGGTGACCTGGGGGAAGAGGTGCCTTCCCCCATGGCTCTCCAGACCCTGAGAAGGCACCTGGAGCAGCGGGAGGAGAGGGACAGAAGAGACTGCAAAGCCAGTGAGTGGCAGGACCCTGCTACACGGCAGCCCATGGGAGCATGTGGAAAACAAATCATGAGGTTTGCTCCTGCATATATTGGGTGCCCACTGCGTGCATCCTGGGCTAGGAGCTGGAGAAACTGAGGCCCTCCCTTCCAGAAGATTGGAGTGGCTTTGGCAGAGGTGTGTACTCAGACAAGAGCACACGGGGTGGGGGCGGCCAGGAAGGGAAGGTCCAGGCAACCAGAGCTCTGTCAACAGTGGGTCTGGGTGGCCCCGCTTGTCTCCTGCTGGAAGGGGAACTTTCAGCCTAACCATGATCCACGGTGCCCACCAGGGGGGAATGTGCCACATGGGAGAGGCCCGAGCCCAGCCCCGCACCCAGACCCCAGTCAGCCTTGGGGATTCCTCCCTCCGCACCCAGCCAGCCATCGACCTCCCTCTGCCGTCCTCCCCTGTGGCGACCAGTGCTCTCCATGGCAAGGCCACCAGCCTAGTGGGCCCAGGGCTGCCTCCTCGTACCCACCCCAGCCATGCTTCCTCTACTCACACGCCCCTGCGTCCAGGGCCTCAGTCCCCGCCCTGCCCTCCAGAGCCAGTGGCCCAGGGTCCCTACAGCCCGCCAGCAGCTACACGGGGGTTCCACAGCCAGGGTCACGCGTGCTGAAGACAGTGGGAGCCCTGCAGCCCAGACGCTGGAGCAGGAGGGGGAGCCAGGGAGAGTCTGCGCCTGCACAGGGGTCCGTGTGAGTGCGCGGGCACCGTGTGCACGGGCGCACAGCTGCCTGTGTGTCCCCGGAGTCTTGACGCGAATGTGTGTCTGAGCATGAGTATGTGCCTGTGGGTCTGCGTGTACAAGGGCGTCTGTGGGTGTGAGGGTGCGTGCCTGTGTGAGAGTGTGTGTGTGTCAGTGTGAGGGTATGTCGGTGTGTGAGGGGGTGTCTGTGTAGTGTGTGTCTGTGAGTGAGGGTGTGCCTAGTGTGTGGGAAGGTGTGTATGTGTGGGAGGGTGTGTGTGTGGGAGGGTGTGTGTGTGGGAGGGTGTGTGTGTGTAGGAGGGTGTGTGTGTGGAAGGGTGTGTGTGTGGGAGGGTGTGTGTGGGGGGGAGGGTGTGTGTGTAGGAGGGTGTGTGTGTGGGAGGGTGTGTGTGTGAGGGAGGGTGTGTGTGTAGGAGGGTGTGTCTGTGTAGGGGAGTGTGTGTGTGTGGGGGGAGGGTGTGTGTGTAGGGGAAGGTGTGTTTGTGGGAGGGTGTGTCCATGTAGGGGAGGGTGTGTGTGTGTGGGAGGGTGTGTGTGTGCGGTGTAGGAGCGGTTTGTCTGTGTAAGACGGAGGCGTGGTGGTGTGTCGGGAGGGTGTGTGTTGGGAGGTGTGTGTGTGTGAGGAGGGGTCGTGCTAGGAGGCTGTGTGTGTGTAGGGGAGGGTGTGTGTGTGTTGGGAGGGTGTCGTGTGGCCGAGGGAGGCGTAGTCGTGTGGATGGGAGGGAGTGTCGTCCGTGTAAGGGGAGGCGTGGTCGAGTGTGCGGAGGGGGGGGGGGGGAGGGTGTGTGTAGTGTGTGGAGTGTTGTGCCGTGTAGGGGAGCGGTAGTGGGGGAGAGGGTTGTGTCTGTGTAGGCGGAGGGTGTTAGTGTGTGGACGGGAGGGTTGTGTGTGTGTGTCGTGGGAGTGTAGTGGTGGGGAGAGGGGTGTACCGTGTGTGGGAGTGTGTAGTGGTGTGGGAGGGATGTCGCTCCGTGTGTGGGAGGGCTGTGTGTCCGTGTGGAGGGTGTGTGTGTGGGAGGTGTGTGTGGCGGAGGGTTGTGTGTGGTAGTGCGGAGTGTGTGTGTGGGGCGGAGGGTGTTGTGTGTCGGAGGTGTGGTGTGGGA